TTGTCCTCTAAAAGGAAAGCGGGTTGGAGAACTCCAACAGTGCATCCATGTTTGTTTGGGTGCTCAGGGGCAGGGCAGCCGCAAATATTTCCTGCCCTGACAATCTCAGATGCACTCGAATCGGCTGCCCAATTGATTGTCCGGCTTGGTGCATTGAACCCTTGGTTCTAGGCAAGCAGTGACTGTTAATTCGGCATGATAACTCCTCTAATCGTGCCGCTCTACTTTAATTTCACAAAAATTGGTGTATTAACCGATTTGAAACTGACCTCGTGTTTGATTTACAGTTTCTGTTCTTACCCCGCCCTCCTTTTTCCCTTGACAACACTTTCTTGCTCCCAGACTGACAATAATGCATCAACCTTAATTTGCATAAGACCTGGCGGGGCGAAGGAAGATATCCAGTGCAACACTGCCACTGTGGCGCTCGTGTGACCTGGTTTGAAGATTGCAATTTAGTTTCTAGCAACAGATTATTTTAGGGTCTTGGGACAAATGGATGTTGTTGGATATCTTCAGCGTCGTTGGATCTTCGTAGAAATGCCCTGGATTGGGAAATTGTGCCAATACGAAGCAAATTACCCGATTTATGCAGTTCTTGTTGCTGCACTGATTACCCCGGTCTCAAACGGGCACCCTATATTGGTACCACATGTCTAGCCTACCAACGGCACTTGGCTTGTTATCGGTTAGTTTTCATAGAAAAGGGTTCTGCGAGTATTTGAGAGGCAACACTCACTTTGTACAGCCCCCACTGGGATGGTATGGCAGTCGAACCCCAAATAGTTGATAAAAGGGAGTGAAAATTGTCGACTGATAAAAAATCGTCTCCTTTGATTTCCTTCTCTCCAAGAGCTTTCACGCCCCACCTACCTAGAGGCTTACCGGACGCCAACTACCTTATACTATTAGTTCAAGCTTTTCTCTGCTAAGACATTATTCATCTCCTACAAGCTACAGCTATGCCTTTGGCCTTGACATTTGCAATGCCCAGCCCACGTGCGGCAGAGGCTCTCTTGCTGGAGGAGTACACTGCTCTAGAGCCAAAAAGCAATGAAGTTGTGGTTGAATTCCTTGCTGCCCCAGTTAACCCTCTGGACCTGGTGGTTTTGGCAGGTCAATACCCCATCAAGCCCAAATTCCAAGTCAATGGGAAATATGTTGGAGGCTTTGACGGCGTCGGTCGAGTTTTAGCGCGTGGCGGAGATGTTACCAGTCTTGCGCCAGGCGATCTCGTCATACCAAATACCCTAGGGCTTGGAACCTGGAGAACACATGCTACATTCCTAGCAAACGATTTGATCGCAATTCCCGCAAATTCGGACGTTTCATTTGCAGCAATTCTCAAAACATCCGTCCTTACCGCTTATTTTCTACTCGAGGATATGAGGCAATTGAAGCCTGGAGATTGGATCATCCAGAACGCCGGTCAGAGTACTATTTCACAAATGGTTGTTCAAATCGCCCACTTACGCGGGGTGAAAGTAATATCAGTCATTCGTGATCGCGCACCGGAAGACATCTGGGACAGCGAAGCGGATATTGTTCTTAACGAATCCGACTTACCCGATGCGCAAGTCCTTAAGGACAAACGGATTTTGCTTGGCTTAGACTCCGTGTTTGGGCAGTCAGCGGAAAAGATTGCAAGCTGCCTCTCATCCCACGGTACTTTCGTAAATTATGGTCAACTGAGTGGTGGCGGCCCGACATCATGTGTCAAAGTTCCCCACAGGCAGTTTTTCTGGAATCGCTTATCCTTTCGAAGTTTCCGAGGTTCCGAACAGGCAGCGATGCGTTCTGATTCAGAAATGAAGGACCTCTACAGGTGGTTTGTCGAACTCTATGCGGATGGCAGAGTGAAAATGCCGAAAGTGAACCTTGTCAGCTGGTCCGGAGACCAGGACTCTTTGGCTGCCAATATACAGGAAGCAATAACGAGGCAGCAGAACGCCGCCATCGGAACAAAGAAATCGATTTTCATCTATCCATCTACGACGAAATTGTCCCAGTGCAAAATTCCATATGTTGATCCAGAGACTGCGCCTTCCAATGTGGCTGCTGCCTTGAAAGAGATGCCAATGAAGAGGCATATTTTCTATCTCCTATCCCATTCCCCTGGTATTTTCCCTTCGATAATGGGGGTGTACTCCGCATTCTTCCAGAAAACCACCAGGACATTGCCTTTACTGGACTGGCAACTTATCGTTCTACGAATTGCGTCTTCTCTGGGATGCCAATATGAATGGGATGTCAATGCACCCGTAGCTAGAGTGCACGGAATGAGTGAGGGCGTCATGGAGGCAGTCAGGGCATGTCAGAAGATTATTCTGGGAGAAGATAAATCGAACCATACTGGAGTGTTCTCTTGGAGGCAGCTGGTGATTCTGAAGTTTGTCGATGAGCAACTTGCGACTTACACGAATGAGGAGGACACGATAACTCAGTTGCTTCATGTTCTGACTTACACAGAGTTGGTTGAGGCTATTTTTGTTATTGGATTCTACGTAATGATCGCAAGGCTGATCAAGGCTGTGGGGATTGATCCGGATGAGGATATTGTTGGTTTGGAAGATATGATCAAGGCTGGAGTTAACTGAATTGTTAGACAAGGCAGTTAGGAGATAGTACAATTGGTAGAATAATTTGTTCAGTAACCTTAAATGTTTTGTTTCATACTTACATGATGTTCTATGTATTCTCTGCTGGTTTCTATACTACTTTTGGGTTTCGCCCCCCGCTACACATGGATGGCGTACGCACATTAGTCGCATGAAGCCCATTTAGGAAATTGCCGGGCTTGAAATAACAGGTCCTCGGAAAACACTGTTTTAATTTGTCGATTGATTAGTATGATGTGGTCTCAGATGACGGCCTGTTGTCGCATCCAGGGCTGAAAGATCGACCCTTGGTGGTCTTCGGGAGTGGTGCAGGATCAGGGACCAGGGGCAAAATAAACTCTTCGATAAGGTATGCCAAGCAATGGCAAGCCAGATCGACCCAACCAACACGAGGGGTCTGAGCGAAACCTTGGAAGTTAAGTCACAAAAAGTATACTGTCGTTGGTTGCACTACATGACGAACTTAGCACCGGGCAGTACAGAAAACACAAGGGGATTTACTGCTCCTTCTGGAGGCAAACAAACACGAATATTCCGATTTCGATACGAGGTCTCTGAGAATCTGTTGCTAATCAGGAGTGTTTGCTGTAAATAGACTTGAACCTTCTTCACCTTCGTGAAAATGTTCTACAAAGAAGGATTTATACGGATCAATTGGAAACCTTCTCCTCACTAGTCTGAAGGGATGCGTTGGCGGATTAGACATCTACGGCCCAGCTGTCCCACTCAAGATTAACCCATCTGGAGGATGCAAAAGCCTTCATTTGTTCTTGAAAACAGACCAGTCGACCTCCTACAAACGCCCTGATAACATCAAATATAGCGATCTTTGTCAGTACAGAGTGACCAGGACAACATTCGCTATGGCCTCGACTATGAACTTCCTGCCCAACATCCACTTCGACCATCTCCAGAGATATTGTCTTCTAGTGGCCTCTTTCTTTCTCATCAGCTGTGTTTGGACAAAGTACCGTCAAGGCCTTCGACACATACCGGGTCCATTCCTTGCCAGTTTCTCAAACCTATGGAAAATCCATAGAATATTGAAAAAGGACATGGCATGGCGGAACATCGAGGTTCATGAAAAGTACGGTGCACTGGTTCGGATCGGGCCTAACCACGTGTCAGCATCTGATCCAGAAGCCGTGAAGACTATATACAACTTTACCAATATCTTCCCCAAGGTAAGGGTGGTGGCCATGAAACTTCTTTCTTCCGGGGGGGGATTTGAATCCAACTCCCAGATATACTATATATTTCGCCAGACGACACTAACTAGCTTTGAAGTCCGCCTTTTTTTCAATTGGCGAGGGCCTCTATGAGGGCAAGAAATTGCCCACACTTTTCACCACGAGGAGTAATGAGTACCACGCGCAATTAAAGCGAGCTTCAGCAAAGGCTTTCTCGATGACCGTCGTGTCAGAATTTGAGCCATTTGTAAACGCGTATATAGAGCTATTTCTGAAGCAAGTCTACAATCGTTCGAACAACGGTAAAACAACTTTTGATATTGGTCCATGGATGCAATATTTCGCTTTCGATGTTCTAGGCGAGGTCAACTTCTCTCGGGCCCTTGGGTTCTTGGAAACAGGGACTGATGTCGATAACAACATCGCTGCAATCGACCAAGTCTTGTCTTATGTTTCTCTTGTAAGGTTCTATGGCCTTTTCAAATATTTTGATGTATGCTAAAAATCGTGCACAGATCGGGCAGATCCCCGCGGCACACAAGTTTCTCCTAGGTAATCCAATTCTGCCGAAAATTTTTCCAAATTTCGAGAAGCTTAATCAAGTCCAAGAGGTTAGTTGACTCTCCTCGATATTCGGTGGAGTTTCGATTATGGCTACTAAAATCCATCAAACCAAAGTTTGCCATTGCTATGATTAAGGAACGCAGGCAGAATCCCGTGGCCCGGAAAGACATACTGGCGAGATTAATCGAGATTCACGACTCGGATCCGTCAAAGCTGTCCTTTCGCGAGATTGTCGCCATTACGACAACGAATATGTGAGTTTTCCATCAACTTTAGAACCAACCTGGTCGTAATTAATGAGAAAATAGTATCGCTGGTTCTGATACCACTGCAATTACGCTGAGAGCTGTCTTCTACTATCTCTGTAAGAATGCATCAGTGTATAAAAAGCTACAGCAGGAGGTGGACAGTGCCGCTGAGCAGTGTAGTCTGTCGAAACCGGCAACATACAACGAAACAACTGCGCTTCCATATCTGTAAGTGTATATGAGGGTCAATATTAAAGCACAATGGACTAACGGCTTCTCCTTTTGCAGTGGCGCTGTGATCAATGAAGCCATGCGCATGCATCCCGCAACAGGATTCATCCTGGAGCGCGTTGTCCCTGAAGGTGGTATAACCCTAGGCGGAACCTTCTTGCCTGCAGGAACTATTGTAGGAGTCAACTCGTGGGTCATCCATCATAACAAACAAGTATTTGGTGACGATGTCAACGTTTTCCGACCCGAGCGCTGGCTTGAGGGTGATCCTGCAGAGATCGCTAATAGACACAGACATATGCTTGCAGTAAGAAATGCTCGATTCTGATTTCCTTTAGCCAAAAAGATGCTCACTTCTAGTTTTTCTTTTTGTAGTTTGGCGCTGGACCACGCGTATGTATTGGCAAGCATATAAGTCTTCTGGAAATGTGGAAAGTTGTCGTGGAATTCGTCCGACACTTTGACTTTGAGTTGGAGGACACAAAAGCGGATTGGAAATTACAAGCAGGTTGGTTTGTAAAACAGGAAGGTCTCAGAATGAGATTCAAGAAGAGAGTTTGATTAGGCCCATGTACCCTTTTCGTTGCTACAGTGGGTATTAACTTTGTTGAATAAGATGAGGGGGATGTATTTTTGATGTTTCAGACAAGGAAATCGTAGTTACATTCAGCTGACCTTTTTGCTCTGGGAGAATACCGCTCCATTGGGAAATGTGAAATAAAAATTTACTATGTATCACCATCAACAATTAAAGCACTACGAATTCAAGTTTCAAAATTAATGTGTCCTAGCACAGGTCGTTGTCTATTTCACAGTACAGAATGCCAGATATTGTACTCCGTAACTAGAGAAGAGAAAAAAATATCATCTCAATCCAAACCCGTTTTAGTGATCCCCTCCCTGGAGAGTAGCCCATATCTTGCGGTATCATCAGATAGTTATGGTATATAGTTCGAATACATTCCATATGGGCCTGCTGAGCTCTATCACTATGAATTCCTATGTCGGATCGTAATACCCTCAATCTTATAGTCTAATAATTGTAACTGCAAAGAAACAAAAGGGCATCAGCCCCATCGGCTGATAGATAGGAGTTAGATCACGTGAACTGCCACATTACAAACCTCCTTTCCAAGATTCTTGATAGCCAAAAGGGCCCATGCTCAAAACAAACGCAACTTCGCACTCAGCGAAAGACAAAATAACAAAGAGTCTGATTTATGGATTGAAAATATTTATCATCAATCAGCTGAAGGAGAGAAATGGTCATATTGGGTTTGTTCCATTAGAGGCTGTGGTATTGCGTCCGTTTGCTTCTGGCTCCGCGGTTTGGTTTTTCAGCTTAATCAAGCTCACGCCATCAAACACAGGCAGCATCACCACGTCAATCCTTGGGTCCTGGTTAACAGCAGCATTGAATTGTCTCAGGGCCTTGCCGCATTCCGTCCAGTATGAACGACTAGAACCAGCAAGGATTGGATTGGACGATGTTGAGATCGTCATCCCACGAGCAAACACTGATGACCGTGTTAGCGATAATGAACAAGATTTTGCACCTGACTTGAAAACTCACCATTGTCACACATGATAAGGCCATCTTGTGAAAGGAGGTTTCGGTCGAGAATGGTATTGACATAACCTTCGTAACCATCCTTGTTGGCATCGACAAAGATTAGATCGAAAGAACCCGTCAACTTTTCGAGTCTGTTTCCCAAGCAAGGCTGGTAAGTTTAACTGGAGGGACTCTCTCAACTGCAAACTACAAAAACCAGGCACTGGAAAAGCAAACTTCTTACGATTCCGCCGCTGGGCCCTCGATTAATGTAATCCTGTCGTTGACATTGTACTTGTCGAAGACTCCTCGCGCCACAGCAATCATTTCTGGGCTAACCTCCAAGGTGATGATTTCTGCATGAGTTTCTCTTGTGCCTTCATACCAAGCTAAGGCGCTGTATCCGGAAAATGTCCCTATATCGAGGACTATTGATGGGAATTAGACTGAAGGATGTATTTACGGATGGATGCTGGATGACTTACTTCTCTTTGCTTTACGATCTTGAGCTAAGAAGATCATCCATGAGCCCTGTGACATTGTTAGCTTCATTCTCCATTGTCACGTCTCCATACCCTTTGTTATACGGTCAAGGTTAGCTTACCTGTAATGGGGAAGACATTTTATCTGCCTCTTTGAATGACTTCGCGGTATACTCCCATACCTCTTCCATCATCTTGGGAACGCCATTCGTGTGTTCTATACAATATCCGCTCACCTTCTCGGCTGCTTCAGGCTGTTGCCCAAGTTAGTTGACGCCCAATCGATGGGAAATATTAAAAATCTTACAGTGAATGGTAGGATGCTGTTCAACATGTCTTTGAATCAAAGCTGTCAGTTTTTAGGGACAAGTGCAAACCTGTTACTAATGAGGTCAATCAGATAGGTGATCAAACCGATTATGACATGAGTTGCTTCAGATAAAATTGAGGACTGCTCTCTTTTTATGCAAAATCTTCTCTCAATATCATTCCGGGCAGAAGAACGTTTACGTCAATATCACTGGTAAACAAATATTGCGTCACACTCTACATGTATCCTTCCTCTGGCTGACTATCACGTTGTAGCTCCTCAACCTAAGGCGCAAAATGGCTACAGAGGCTGGCATCAAGAGGTAAAGGTTGTCGAACCACGGATGTTCGACAAAATCCGAGGATCTACATCGTGGAGCATGCAGGCTGTGCACACAAAACCGCAAAAGCTAATGGAATACGAGAAACCCTTTCGCGTGCAACAAAAACGACCTAAGTTGCACTGCTCTTTTCCATTAATTGCTATTTTTTAACATAGTATTGAATAGTTCTTCACTTTATCTTCTGTTCAATAGAACATTACGTTTTCAACCCCGCTACCTTCTAGTGGATGACGAAATTGATAACCAATCCACTACATAATGGTTTGTTGTTAGACCTTGTCTTCAATTTCCGACAAACAGTGACAAAATACCCTTTTTAGGTATTTATCAATCTGTGTTTTCAGGGGCTCATTTCGGAATAAAAGATATCCGAAATTTTGGTAGCAGTTGGCAAAGCACTCTACATATCACTTACTTTACGCAGTAGAGTTTCTCGTCAGCGACAGAGAAGCTATCAGGTATGTGCCAGGCTTTGCCCCAGCAATTATCTGATTGATCTAGCATCCGATTTGATCGAGTTAACCATTAATTAGGTAATTAGAGAAGCGTCATCTCCTCGGCAAGGATTTTGTTCCCCTAGAAAAAATTACAGGGAAGTTGTTCACGCAAAGGTTTACACACATTTATACGAGGCTGTTAAAATAGCTGACTTAAATTATTCTCTAGTTATAATTTTCGTCATTGACTTGATCACAAAAATCCGTCCTACTGAAGCAAAGCAGATAATTAACTCGAGCTCAATTGTTCTTTCAGCCTCCTTCCTGTGCCCCCATTTTAAAGTTAAGGTTAGCGCTTCACTACCGGAAACTAGCGCCGATCTTCACAAGGTTCTTCCGGGGCTGATTCTGACCTCCACAGTTTCCACTTCCTGAATGCGAGACTCTGACTGGACGGCGGAGGTTGGGGGATCGGCATCCACTGGGCCACAAAGCTAGGATCATTCTGGCGGCACGGCTCGTATTCAGCTAGGAACTCAGATAATTGGGAGCCGAGATGTCGATCTCGTATTCTCAGTCGAAAACTAATTTTGTGATCCCTAGTCAAACAAACAAGCCAAAAGTTTACGTGGTTACACAATTTACGAAGCGCTGGAGCCTGATTATCAATCAATTCGAAAAATCTAGCTTTCTATTTCCCCCTTGAAAGCAAAATGTTCTCTTCGCTTGGGTCTTTTATCTTCATTGAAAAGGACACATTTTGAATCAGGGTTCGTTTCTTCCCAGAACTGTGTCGAAATTCTTGAAAATACCTCTTCTCTCTGATTCGTTTGTCCTTTAGTGATAAACCTTCTCACAATGTTGGCTGACCAGGGGGAGGTTCTGTTCGACCAAAATGGCCAGGTGGAAAAAGTCATGGTTAGTTCTGACCAGGAGTGCAACTCGCTGTCACCACCTACCGAACCTCGCAAAAGAAAAGGAATTTCCGTAAGTATTCAAATTGCCTTAGAAATGCCTTGTGACATCTAGTTAGAAGCTAACAACTCTGCAGTGGGTTTTGGTTGTTGCCAGCACCCTTTCGTGCATCTTTCTCTACGCCATAGATAATACTATCACTGCCAACGTCATTCCGGTTCGCAAAGTCTCACCTTATTTATCATTTTAGATCGGCTTTGCTGACGATACTACTTTTCTATTAGGTAATAGCAGAAGACTTTCAGAACACTGATAAGCTAGCATGGCTTTCAGTTGCGTAAGTTTACTTTAAGAGAATGAAATTATATACAATCATCTCGCTGGAGTCATATTCTAATCACGTATATGCAGCTTCATGATTGGAGGAGTGGCTATGGTCCTTCCATATGGTAGATTGTACGGGCTATTCGACGTCAAGTCTCTGTATATTGCGTCTGTTATCCTATTTCAGGGCGGGTCAGCTCTTTGCGGCGGTGCGCCCAACATTAATGCGTTCATTGTTGGACGAGTTATTGCAGGAGTTGGCGGCAATGGCATGTACCTTGGCGTCATGAATATCCTTTCTGTGAACACTAATGATAAAGAACGACCCATGTACCTGTCTCTTGTGTAAGCACATTTACTGTCATCGCCAAATAGAAACTGTCGACCGAGCTCTCTGTCAAGCTAACTTGTGATATTTAGTGGACTTGTATTTGGCACTGGAACTGTCGTTGGTCCACTTATCGGCGGTGGCTTTGCAGAATCTCCCGCTACCTGGAGATGGGGCTTCTATATAAACCTTTGCGTCGGCGCGCTATTCGCCCCTGTCTATCTGTTTCTTATCCCAGGATTCGACCCGCGTGGATCCCAGAAAATTCTTGAACGTTTCCGTGAGTTTGATTATTTGGGCGGGATGCTCAGTGTCGCCGCGCTAGCATGCATAATCATGGCGACAAACTTTGGTGGTCCTATGTATGATTGGGACAGTCCCCAGATTATCGTTCTTTTCGTTCTTACTGCGGTGTTTGCTCTGGCATTTGGCATCCAACAAGTTTACTGTATCCTCACCGAAGAAGACCATCGCATGTTCCCCGTCTCGTTGCTGAAAATCAAAGAAGCGGTTCGCCTCTTCATATGTATGTCTGCAGCAAATGCGGCTGGATTCATTCCAATATATTACATCCCAACGTACTTCGCCTTTATCCGCGGCGATGAGCCGATGAACTCAGCTGTTAGGCTCCTACCGATTATTATCCTTATCAGCGCAGTGATCTTCTTCAATGGAGCAATGATGTCGAAGTTTGGATACTACCAGCCCTGGTATATAACTGGAGGTGCCTTTGTGCTTGTTGGTGGTGTTCTGTTTTGTAAGTTCTACTGTGGGTGACTTCTCATCAAGCTTGCGATTCCTAACAATACATCTATAGCTCGCATCGGCGTCAATACCCCAATTAGGAATATATACGGCTATGAAGTTCTCATTGGAGTTGGATCTGGATGTTATATTCAAGCTGGCTTTGCCGTCATTCACTCGCTTATCGAGCCTTCAATGATGGCATATGCGATCAGTTTCATGATGTTAGGTACGGCTCAACGGCAACCATTAATGTGTCTTAAGTTAAAAAGAGAACTAACCCGTCATTGAATGAAATTATAGCTCAGCTTCTCGGCATCACTTTCGGCCTATCGATTTCAGGTGCTGTTTTTATCAATTACACAATAAACGGCTTAGTTAAAACCATCCCTAACATCACTTATAATGAGGTTGAGGCTGCTCTTCTTGGAGTGAGCAGTAATTTCCTCGGACGACTTACCCCTGAGATTCAGAGGGCTTCTCTGGAAGTTATTGCTGACGGTATCAGGAAAGTGTATGTACATACCTAGCTCAATTAATCTCTCAATTGTTGGTATCATGAACTAACGATTCTTCTAGGTATATTCCAGTCTATGTGTCTGGTGCAGTGGGCTTAGTTACTGCGATATTTTTGAATGTAAGTTTTCTCTCAGTTATGGATGTTGACTTCTTTGAGCTGACAATACTTTTACAGAGAAAGGGAAAGGTCCATTCTTGAGGGATTATTTTTGGAAACAGATTCTAGAGTTGAGATAAGAATACGAACCGATCAGCAACCCGCGAATAGCGTAGTATAGAGATTTTAACCCGAAATATCTACGCTCAACAATTACTAATTAAATTAAATTAAAATACACTAGAATTATGGTATCTTATTCTTATATGATTATGAGAACCGCAATTGCTGCGCCTATGCGGCGCGCATGAGCGTGCATAGGCCCTGGGAACCCAGGGGACGGGGTTAAATAACTGACTGCTTCACTTTGAATTCAATGCTTAGATCTTTAAAATTTTGACTTCTCGTTCCCATTCACAATACATATATTCTTATATTTCTTCTTTATAATTACTAATCATCTCATACTTGTAGATTTTGATAATTTGATTGAATTGTTTCACTAGACTTCTAAGAAGAGTTCCCAAGTCTTTGTCTCAAGATTTTTAATTTTGTTTATCTGCTTATGCAATTGGCAGGAATTACTAGATGTTTATCGAGCTTAAAATAACTGACTTATTAAATTAACTAGCTGAAGAGATAGAAGTTTTGAGTTGAACATTTAGCAGTTGAAGAATTTAATTAAATTCAACCATTTCAGTAGCTCTAATCTACTTTAAATATTATAAATTATGAAAATCTTATATTTATTATAAATTAAATATTTACAAAAGCTAACTTTTTAATAATATTAAATTTTAATTCATATATATTATTTTTATTAAAATTTTATATATTTATTTTCAAACTATGAAAGACTAATATTTAATAATTAGTTATAGAAGATAATAAATATATCAGTATATGAAGAAAAATAATCATATTATTACAAATTCAAATAAATTTAAAATAATTGTTAATCATTATTTAGAGTAAAATAATAAGTAATTATCTAATTTATATAAATTTATAATAAAAATATATAATACAATTCTTTGTTTTATTGTTCATATTTTCTCAATACTCACTTTTCTTTAAATTGAAACTTTGTACTTTTAACATATATTTATTTAATAAAAAATTATAATATTTTCTTCTAATAACTATAAAATAATATTAGCTTTTAAGATATTTAAAAAATCTGATTATTTAATTATATAAAATACTATAAAAATTTATAATAATTTTTAATTAACTTTATATATATAATATATATAGTTTTAAATAGATTTAATTAATTTTAATATTACATATTACAATTATTATTAATTATCATAAAAGAAAAAAAATAAGTAATTAAAAAATATAAATAATAAAATTGAAAATTATATTATTTCAGTAAATTATTTAATTTTTAACTTATTTATAAATTAATTATAAAAACTGCTATAAAGTTTTATTTAAAAGTTTACTAATTTAATAATTAATTTATCTTTTTAGAATAATATAAATAATATTGACTATTTTAATTCTAACTATTTATTTTTAACTTTCAAAGCATAAAAGCTTTATTTAATTATAATACTTTGATAGTAAGTATTATATATATTTCTTTCTTTAATATTTCTCTTAATTAAAAGATAAAAACTAGTTATATTATATATAAAATTATTTAAATCATATGGAGTAAAGCTAATTAAATCATATAAAGTAAAGCTAACTAAAGCATATATAGTATAAAGTATTTAACAATCAGTTAAAATTAATTAACATTGATATATTAAAGAATTTTAATAGTTAATTATTATAAAAAATCTTTAAATTCGCTTTGGCTGGCTGATTCAGCCTAGTCATTATTTGCATGTGTGCATGTGATCATGCTATGTGAGCTTGCTTAAGCTTGAGTTCTCATCTCATTCTTTTCTTTCTTTTCTCAAGCAATTCATCTTTGTTATATAGAAGGACTAGCCTCTAATTCTTAGAGCTTAACTCTTTACATTATGAATTGCTTGACTTTTTTTATTGATAGGCCACTGAGAGTTTTAATCATGTATCATGAAGCTCAGCAAATGTGCTGACATATGATAGACTATTGAGAGCTTTAAATCCTGCATCACAAAGTCCAGTGATAGCACTGATATATGAATAGACTGGGTTAGCAATCATGTTAGTGAACAAATAAACAATGTTGAAAACATCTAGTTGAATGAGATAAAGCAACAGACTTGTACAACAAATATACAAATGAATCAATGTGAAGTAATAAGCAGGAATGCCTCCAGCAGCTTTGAACAACAATGAATGATCTTTCTTCAACAGAAGGAACAGATTCAGTGTGAGAACAGAGATTTAATAGCAGCTCAGCAAGCTGAAATAGCTAATCTACATCAAGTTTTAAACATCTCAACATCAACTCTTTTTCAATTGAATTTACAATCACTCATTGCAGTCAGAAGATCAAAGATTGTAAAGGGTTAAGCTCTAAGAACTAGAGGCTAGTCCTCCTATATAACAAGGATGAATTGCTTGAGAAAGGGAAGAAAAAAATGAGACAAGAACTCAAGCTTAAGTGAGCTCACATAGCATGATCATGTGTGCATGTGCAAATGATGGCTAGGCTGAGTCAGCCAGCCAGAGTGAATTTAGGGGTTCAACCCCTTATAATACCCCCCTTCTCCCTCTTTGTTGCGGGCCTTTACAACTATTTAAAGCCCTCTTTACATTTAATTTTGCCTGCTGAGAGGCCTCCCAAGTGTTTAAAGCCTTCACTTCTTGTAGGAGACTTGCATCATTCCACATAGGCTCAGCCCAACCTACCCATTTAACAAGGTATTGCTTTTTCCTGTAGTAGGTTCATTTGCTCTGAATTTCCTCAATCTCAAACTCAGATCCTTCCAGGGTCTCTATAGCAAGTGGCTGCTAGTTGGTTTGCCTCTGATTAGACAGAGGATCTGTCATCACAACATGTAGAAGTTTTACATTAAAGACATTGTGAATGCCAGATGAGATATCCAGTCAATAAGCATGGAATTCTATCTTTTCTAGCATGGTATATTGATTGTATTTCACATCCAGCTTCTTGTATAGATGATTAGTTCTCATGTTCTCTAAGCTCAACCAGACCTTATCTCTGGATTAAAAGCTTGAAGCTGGGTCTCTTCATCTATTCACATATTTCTCTTGAGATTGCTGAGCATCCATCATTTTTACTTGAGCCCACTTCAACACTTCATGGGCCTTCCTCATATAATCATCCACAAACTTAATGAGATTACATGGTGCTTTAATGGGGGATGCATCAGCTATATCAATGAAGAAGATATGGAAAAGGTGCATTAAAAAAAACAGGCTCATGCCTGTTGAGGCAACATCTTTATTATTGATGGCCAGCTCTGCTAGAGGGAGATCATTTATGCCAGTCATCCTGTTGAAAGCTAATGTATTTGTGTAGGTAGATTTCCAGAGTCTGGTTCATTCACTCTGTAGCTCTGTCAGTCTCTGGGTGATAGGCTGTGAAGAGTCATCTCTTAATGCCTAATTTCTCACACATCTAAGTTCAAAACATGCTTGTGAAAGCCAACCTTCAATCTGACACTACCATCTTAGAGATGCCATGTTGAGAGATGATGTTATGAAGGAACACTCTAGCCACTATCTCTGCATCAGTTTTCTTAATTGCTTTTAATATAACCCTCTTGGTCAGTCTGTCTGTTATAATTATGATGTTCATGTATTCTTTAGAGCTTGGTAAGTCCATGATAAAGTCCATGGAAAGCTCCTGCCACATGTGTTCAGGAATGAAAAGAGGTTTAAGCAGTCTCTGATGTCAATCTCTCTATGCAGTGTTTGATCTGCAAAGATGACAGTTTCTAATCATTCTTCTCACATTAACAGCATAGCCTGGCCAGTAAAATTCATATTTTAGAACTTCTGCCATTTGCTCTCACCCAAGATGGCCAGTAAGAGGTGAGTCATGAGCCTCATACACTAACCTGGTTTGAAATGGTTCAAAGTCTGGCATTCACTTATGATCTTGAAAGAGAAGCTCCTCATTCTCATTTAAAGAGCACTCAGAGATAGAGGTTTTAATGTTGAGTTCAGAAGAAAATCTGAATCTTTTCTCATGAAAAGTTTACTTCAGATACTGCAGAATTTTATCATTTTTGTAAGTTTTATTTCATTGAGCTTGAAGAGATATCTCAGATTCCACACTGACAGCAGCCACTATTGATTTTATTTCAAATGTCAGTACATTAAACTTAAGTAGTTGAGCTTGTCTCTACTTGATTCTCTCATCATCAGTGCTCTGTGACATGTTCTGCTCTCTTCACAATAAAGTATTTGATTCAGTGTTCAACTTCTCTGACTGATAATCAATTTTGAAGTTGAATTGATAGAGAATATTCATTCAATATAACTGTCTTTCATTTAATCTGTGTATAGTCATGAAGTATTTTAAATTTTTATGATCTATGAGAATTTTAAATTTCTTTATACTTCATAGCTCAGCATTTCATTTCTTTAAATACTCAATTATCACTAATAACTCCTTATCATGAATCTCATAGTTGCATTTCACAGGTAAATACTTGCAAGAGAAGAAGGCACATGAGTGTAGAATGCTCTGCTTGTCATATTGTAGCAGCACTTCTTCTGAGACATAATTTGAAAAGTCTATTTTCAATATAGTTTCATGGTCAGAGTTGAATTGAAGCAGAATTGAAGTGGAGATAAACATTGATTTTCAATATTTAAAAGCTTTCTCAGCCTTGCTCATCCACAAAAAAAAAATATTCTTGCATGTAAAAATTATCAGTGGAGTCACAATCTTTGAGAAATCTCTGATAAATCATCTATAAAAATTAACAAAGCCTAAAAATCCTCATACATCTTTAAGAGTAATAGGTGTTGCTCATATCAAAACAGCTTTAATCTTCTCTGAATTCATTCATATACTCTTGTCTGCTTCAATGATGAATTTAAGATATTTTGTGCTATTTATCTTAAACTCACTCTTTCTGATATCTGCCTGCAAGCCTTCTTTTTGTAGACATATAAACATCTTTTGTACATGCTCATGATGCTTCTGTAAGCTTCTTGAGGAAAATATCAAGATGTCATCTAAATAGACTGAGCAGAAGTCATCTAAATATTCATATAATGCTCAGTTGATATATTTTTAAAATGTGCTTGAAGCATTAGTCAAATCAAAGAGTGTAATCAGCCACTCAAATAGTTTGTATCTGGTTCTAAAAATTATTATCTACTCATCATCTTCTATGATTCAAATCTTGTGAAAAGCTGCAATAATGTCTAGCTTAATGAATCATTTAGCTCATTCAATTTGCTGTAGTATTTTGCTAATTAATGATAGAGAATATCAATTCTTTCAAATAATTTTATTAAGAGCTTGATAGTTCACACAGAATTTTAGTCCACTTCCAGACTTCTTCATGAATAGTATAGAGGTGGTCATGAAGGAGTTGCTCACTCTAATAAAACCCTTACCTAGATAATCTGTAAGAATCTTTCATGAAACTAGTAGTTTCTCTCAAGACATATTATATAGTGAGTCTCAAGGGGGTTGTTCCACACTATCATCAGTTTTTTTAATCAGTTCAATCTTATGATCTCTATCTGAGTCACAAAGTAGGGGTAGAGCATCAGCAGCTTTTTTATCAAATACATTCAAAAACTTATAATAATGTTCAGACAGCTTTTCTCTAAAGTTAATCTTTGATTTCACTTCTAGTTTTTTCAATATCAGTCAAATTGACAGTGAAAATCTTGATATTTCACTTCTCTCAAGTGCTCACAAGCCTAGAGAAGCTTACAGCAGAGATGGAAATCACATTAGCTTTTGCATTTGAACTAGACTCTATCTCTATGCTACTCTTTTCAAATCTCACAATTCTTTGATGAGGGATCATAATCATCTTTTGCTGGGCCAGCCAGAGGTCATCTAGATACATATCATGATCATATAATTCATTCACCATGTAGAGAAAGGTCTATTCAGTTATGTGATCATCTGTATCAATTTGAATGCTGGTCACTATGCTTGTGGAGAGTTCTATGAAGTCTTCAAAACTGGTCATTTTAATAGAGAAAATTTCAATGCACAGAAGCTTATGCTTGTTAATATAGAATTGAAAAATAAAATCATAGACATTACATTCACTGTTTATCATTGCTCTAGTTGAAAAGGCATTATTTACTAGAGCATCAACAGTGAAGGATTTAAATATCATTTTAAATTTAAATCTTATTTATTGCTTCTTTATAAGCTTCTTATTTTGCTTCTTTCAATATCTTTTGATTGAAGCTACTCTTTTTCCTGAATTTTCACTCATATTCACATTGTCATTATCTAGTACCAGCTCAGAGATCATTTTAACTATCATGGGAGTAACATAGTGTTTGAGAGGTTTGAACAAACAGCTCTTAATCATATGATCTCTAACTCTGCATCTCAAACACAGGCCTTGCTCTCTTCTTCAATTAACCTCTGTCTGATTTATCAATTTAATATGGCAGACACTTGAAGTCATAGCATCAGAAAAGAGATTCATCAGATCATCAGCAAAAGCTTGAAACTGATTTTATCAATTGAGAACAGCATGACAAAGTAGAGAATGTGGATTAGATGTTGTATAATCTGAAGAAGATCTGCCCTTACAATGTTTAGACCACTGTCTTAAAGTCTTAAGCTTAGAGAGTTGATGATCAATTAATCTAAACTTCTTACAGTAATTCTCATAAAGAGATAATTCTCTTATGCTCATCATGCCTTTCCTCAGCTCCATGCTTAGAGTGGATTTCAAATACTTCTTTTTAACATGATTATCTCATTCATAACTGTCAGCTTTCAGCAGTAGCTGATTAAATTCAAACAGAAAGTTTAAGAGAACTCTTCTACTCTGTTATAGATTGTTGAGCTTTTGCATAGTCTTTTTTTGTCATGTAGAATCACTAAAGAGCATGTGTGTCTGCTTTAGTAAGCTCTCTACTGTGAAGTTGATCTTGTTCTTATTATTCTCAACTCAGAGATAAACTTGAACTGCTGCCATTTCTTTCAGTCTCAAATACATATACCAAGCACATTCCTCATTATTGCCTAAAGCTTTTCCATTGATCTTAAGCTTTGATTGAAGCTTTAGCTCTCACTGACAGTAGTGCTTCAGATTAAAATCATCATACTTCTTGCAGTCCAGTAGTTTGATCTTTTGATTTTCTGACTGCAATGAGTGATTGCAAGTTCAATTGAAAGAGAGTTGATGTTGAGATGTTCAAAACTTGATGTAGATTAGCTATTTCAGCTTGCTGAGCTGCTATTAAATCCCTGTTCTCACACTGAATCTGTTCCTTTCTGTTGAAGAAAAATCATTCATTGTTGTTCAAAGCTGCTGGAGGCATTTCTGCTTATTACTTCACATTGATTCATTTGTGTATTTGTTGTACAAGTCTGCTGCTTTATCTCATTCAACTAGATGTTTTCAATATTGCTTATTTGTTCATTAACATGATTGCTAACCCAATCTATTCATATATCAGTGCTATCACTGGACTTTGTGATGCAGGATTTAAGGCTCTCAATAGTCTATCATATGTCAGCACATTTGCTGAGCTTCATGATACATGATTAAGACTCTCAGTGGCCTATCAATGAAAGGAGTCAAGCAATTCATAATGTAAAGGGTTAAGCTCTAAGAACTAGAGGCTAGTCCTCCTATATAACAAGGACAAATTGCTTGAGAAAGGGAAGAAAAAAATGAGATAAGAACTCAAGCTTAAGCAAGCTCACGTAGCATGATCACGTGCGCATGTGCAAATGATGGCTAAGCTGAGTCAGCCAGCCAGAGCAAATTTAGGGGTTCAACCCCTTATACTTTTTTCTCTTTTTCCTAGCTCTTCATTCATTTATCAAGACATGATTCTTTAATCTTTCAATATATGATCAGGATATAATTCTTTAAGTTACTTTTTGAGTTTTAGTTCTAATTTTTACTACTAAATCTACTTTTTTATTTTTTAAAATATTTATATAAACAGGTATTCAAGATAAGTAAATTTGAATATTTTTATTTTTAATCTTAATTCTTTTTACTATTCTTTGAATTAATTTAAGATTTATCTAATCATTTTGAATTTTATATATTTAAAGTTTTTTTAATACTGTTTAACTATCTGAAAATATTCAAATATTATTAATATTTATTTTTTGATAAATTATTTTATAAGCTATTATAAAAGTCTTCTGAAATGTAAATAATTCAATGTTAAAGACTATACTTTTTTTCTAGATCTTATGAAAATATGTTGTATTCTGAATCTAATTCAAAATATTTAACTGCTATACTAGCTTCTAATATGTTTATTCACTTTTTAAATTATCTGAATATATCAATAATGAGTTCTTTTTATTTATTTTTATAAGTTTTTGAGTATATGCAGTTTTTTCCTCTTTTTTGATAGTTTATTAATAGTAATATTTATTAATAATCTTAAATTTTTCTTTCAAAAATAAAACTCATTGTGATTTATACTTTTCACATTTAAGCTTGATAATTGACCTTTAATTATAGTACATATTCTATACAGCTGAGAAGATAATATTTTCTTTGAATTACTAAAGTATTTATTACAATCTAGAAATCTTCTTTTATTTAAGTTTTTCTAGATATATCAGAGGGATATAAAATAGATACTCTCATTTGAATTAAATGATTTGCATTTATTTTCATAATTCTTAGAGCATAATTCATATAACTTTTATTAAATCTAATAGCTGATGGTGGAATTAATGCTTCTATTTCCATAGCTCTAACTGAAGATGTTTTAAAAGCTTCTAGAATTTTTCTTAAAGCTTTATTCTGTAATAGTTGAAATTAATTTATAAAGTTTTTTTGCTCTTTCTATCAAATCTCTGCTGTATAATCTGGTATAGAAGCTATACAAGCTATATATAATTGTCTTATAGCTTGAAAAAATAAACCTCTTTCTGTATTAAAAAGTTTTAATAATACTATTCAAAGTTCTCTCAATTTGAGCAATTTTTCAGATATGAACTTTAAAGTTAAGCTTTAAGTCTAATCATATTTCCAGCCATCTCACATAAAGTTTCTGATTTTATAACTTTATCATGAAGAGTAATTGTAAAGGGTTAAGCTCTAAGAACTAGAGGCTAGTCCTCCTATATAACAAGGACGAATTGCTTGAGAAAGGGAAGAAAAGAATGAGATGAGAACTCAAGCTTAAGCAAGCTTGCATAGCATGATCATGTGTGCACGTGCAAATGATGACTAGGCTGAGTCAGCCAGCCAGAGTGAATCTAGAGGTTCAACCCCTTATAATACCCCCCTTCTCCCTCTTTGTTGCGGGCCTTTATGACTATTTAAAGCCCTCTTTACACCTAATTTTGCCTGCTGAGAGGCCTCTCAAGCGTTCAAGGCCTTCGCTTCTTGTAGGAGACTCACGTCATTCCACGTAGGCTCAGCCCAACCTACCCATTTAATGAGGTATTGCTTTTTCCTCTGGTAGGTTCGTTCGCCCTGAATTTCCTCAATCTCAAACTCAGGTCCTTCTGGGGTCTCTATAGCGGGTGGCTGCCAGTTGGTTTGCCTCTGACTAGGCAGGGGATCCGTCGCCGCAGCATGTAGAAGCTTTACATTAAAGACATTGTGAATGCCAGGTGGGACGTCCAGTCAGTAAGCATGGGATCCTATCTTTTCTAGCACAGTATATTGATTGTATTTCACGTCCAGCTTCTTGCACAGGCGATTAGTTCTCATGTTCTCTAAGCTCAACCAGACCTTATCTCCAGGTTGAAAGCTTGAAGCCGGGTCTCTTCATCTATTCGCGTATTTCTCTTGAGATTGCTGAGCATCCGCCATTTTTACTTGAGCCCACTCCAACACTTCACGGGCCTTCCTCATATAATCATCCACAAACTCAATGGGATTACGTGGCGTTTCAACGGGGGGTGCATCGGCTATATCAATGGAGGAGACATGGAAAAGGTGCGTTAAAAAGAACAGGCTCACGCCCGTTGAGGCAGCATCTCTATTATTGATGGCCAGCTCTGCTAGAGGGAGATCATTTATGCCAGTCATCCTGTTGAAAGCTAACATACTTGCGTAGGTAGGTTTCCAGGGTCTGGTTCATTCACTCTGTAGCTCTGTCAGTCTCTGGGTGATAGGCTGTGGAGAGTCATCTCTTAATGCCTAATTTCTCACACACCAGAGTCCAAAACATGCTTGTGAAAGCTGACCCTCAATCTGACACTACCGCCTTAGGGATGCCATGTCGAGGGATGATGTTGTGAAGGAACACTCTAGCCACTGTCTCCGCATCAGTTTTCTTAACTGCTTTTAATATAACCCCCTTGGTCAGTCTGTCCGTTATAACCATGATGTTCATGTATCCTTTAGAGCTTGGTAAGTCCACAATAAAGTCCATGGAAAGCTCCTGCCACATGCGTTCAGGAATGGGGAGAGGCTTAAGCAGTCCCTGATGTCGATCTCTCCATGCGGTGTTTGATCTGCAAAGGTGGCAGTTCCTGGTCATTCTTCTCACATCGGCGGCATAGCCTGGCCAGTAGAACTCACGTCTTAGAACTCCTGCCGTTTGCTCTCGCCCGGGATGGCCGGTAAGAGGTGAGTCATGAGCCTCGTGCACTAACCTGGTTCGAAGAGGTTCGAAGTCTGGCACCCACTTACGATCTCGAAAGAGAAGCTCCCCGTTCTCGTTTAAAGAGCACTCAGAGACGGAGGCCTTAATGCCGAGTTCAGAAGGAAATCTGGATCTTCCCTCACAAAGAGTTTGCTCCAGACGCTGCAGGATCTTGTCATTTTTGCGGGCCTCATTCCACTGAGCTTGAAGAGACATCTCAGGTTCCACGCTGGCAGCGGCCACTATTGGTTCCATTCCAGGTGCCAGTACATTAAACTTAAGTAGTTGAGCTTGCCTCTGCTTGATCCTCTCATCATCAGCGCCCTGTGGCATGTCCTGCTCTCTTCGCGATAGGGCGTCCGGTCCAGCGTTCAACTTCCCTGGCCGGTAATCAATCCTGAAGTTGAATCGATAGAGAATATCCATCCAACGTAGCTGTCTTTCATTTAGTCTGCGTGTAGTCATGAAGTATTCTAGATTCTTATGATCTGTGAGGATCTTGAATTCCTTTACGCTTCGTAGCTCAGCGTCCCATTCCTTTAAACACTCAATTATCGCTAATAACTCCTTATCATGAATCTCGTAGTTGCATTCCGCAGGTGAATGCTTGCGAGAGAAGAAGGCACATGGGCGTAGAATGCTCTGCTCGTCATATTGTAGCAGCACTCCTCCTGAGGCGTAACCTGAGGAGTCCGTTTCCAATATAGTCTCACGGTCAGGGTCGAATTGAAGCAGGATCGGAGCGGAGATAAACATTGATTTTAGACGCTTAAAAGCTTCCTCAGCCTTGCTCGTCCACAAAAAAGGAACATTCTTGCGTGTAAGAATCGTCAGTGGGGTCGCGATCTTTGAGAAATCCCTGATAAATCGTCTATAGAAATTGGCAAAGCCTAAAAATCCTCGTACACCTTTAAGAGTAGTAGGTGTTGCCCATTCCAAAACAGCTTTAACCTTCTCCGGATCCATTCGTATACCCTTGCCCGCTTCAATGATGAATCCAAGATATTTTGTGCTGTTCACCTCAAACTCACTCTTTCTGATGTCTGCCTGCAGGCCTGCTTCCCGTAGACGCATAAGCACCTTTTGTACATGCTCGCGATGCTCCCGTAAGCTTCTTGAGGAAAATATCAAGATGTCATCTAAATAGGCCGAGCAGAAGTCGTCCAGGTATCCACGTAATGCCCAGTTGATATATTTTTGAAACGTGCTCGGAGCATTGGCCAAACCAAAGGGTGTAACCAGCCACTCAAATAGCCCGTATCTGGTTCTAAAGGCCGTCATCCACTCATCACCTTCCGTGATTCGAATCTTGTGAAAAGCTGCAATAATGTCCAGCTTAGTGAACCATTTAGCCTGTCCAATTCGCTGTAGAGTCTCACTGATTAATGGTAGAGGATATCGATCCTTTCGGGTGATTTTGTTAAGAGCTCGATAGTCCACACAGAATCTTAGCCCACCCCCAGGCTTCTTCGCGAATAGTATGGGGGCGGCCGCAGGGGAGTTGCTCACCCTAATAAAACCCTTATCTAGATAATCTGTAAGAGTCTTTCGCAAAGCCAGTAGTTCCTCTCGAGACATATTATATAGCGGGCCCCAAGGGGGTTGTTCCGCGCTACCATCGGCCTTTTTAATCAGTTCAATCCCATGATCTCTACCTGGGCCACGAAGTGGGGGTAGAGCGTCGGCGGCTTCCTTATCAAATACGTCCAAAAACTCATGATAATGTTCAGGCAGCTTTTCTCTAGGGTCAATCTTTGGTTTCACTTCTAGAGCCTTTTGAATGTCGGCCAAACTGACGGCGAAGATCTCGATGTTTCGCTTCTCTCGAGTGCTCGCAAGCCTAGAGAAGCTTACGGCAGAGATGGGAATCACATCAGCTTTTGCATTTGAACTAGGCTCTACCTCTATGCCACTCTCTTCAAATCTCACAATTCTTCGATGAGGAATCACGGTCGCCTTTTGCTGGGCCAGCCAGGGGTCGCCTAGATACATATCATGACCATGTAACCCATTCACCACGTAGAGAAAGGCCCGTTCAGTTACGTGACCGCCTATATCAATTCGAATGCCAGTCACTATGCTCGTGGAGAGTCCCATGGAGTCTTCAAAGCCGGTCATTTTAACAGGGGGAATTTCAATGCACAGGAGCTTATGCTTGTTAACGTAGGATTGAGAAATAAGACCATAGACATTACATCCACTGTCTATCATTGCTCTAGTCGAAAAGGCATTATCTACTAGAGCATCGACAGTGAAGGGTTTGGATATCATCTTAGATTTAAATCCTCTCCATTGCTTCTTCATAAGCTCCTTATTTCGCTCCTTCCAGTGTCTTTTGATTGGAGCTACTCTTTTTCCCGAATCCTCGCTCGTATCCACATCGTCGTCGTCCAGTACCGGCTCGGGGATCACCTTAGCTATCGTGGGGGTGGCAGGGCGTCTGGGAGGTTTGAACGGGCAGCTCTTAATCATATGACCTCCGGCTCCGCATCTCAGGCACAGGCCTTGCTCTCTTCGTCGATTAACCTCTGTCTGATTTACCAATTTGGCGTGGCGGGCGCTTGGGGTCACAGCACCAGGAGAGAGATCCATCAGATCATCAGCGGAAGCTTGAGGCCGGTTTCGTCGATCAAGGACAGCATGACGAAGTAGAGAGTGTGGATTAGACGTCGTATGATCCGAAGAAGATCTGCCCTCGCGACGTTTAGACCACTGCCTTAAAGTCTTAAGCTCAGAGAGTTGATGATCAACTAATCTAAGCTCCTTGCAGTAATCCTCGTAGAGAGACGGTTCCCTTACGCCCACCATGCCTTCCCTCAGCTCCATGCTTAGAGCGGATTTCAAATACCCCTTTTTAACGCGATCATCCCATCCGTGACCACCAGCTTCCAGCAGTAGCTGATTAAATTCGGGCAGAAAGTCAAAGAGAGCTCTTCTACCCTGTCGTAGATTGTTGAGCTTTTGCATAGCCTTTTCCTGTCGTGCAGGATCACTAAAGAGCATGCGTGTCTGCTCCAGTAAGCTCTCTACCGTGAAGTTGACCTTGTCCTTATTATTCTCAACCCAGGGGTAAACTCGAGCTGCTGCCATTCCTTCCAGTCTCGAGTACACATACCAAGCACATTCCTCATTATTACCTAAAGCTTTCCCATCGACCTTAAGTTTTGATTGAAGCTTTAGCTCCCACTGAGGGTAGTGCTCCAGATTAGAACCATCATACTTCTCGCAGTCCGGTAGCTTGGTCTTTGGTCTTCTGACTGCAATGGGTGGTTGCGGGTTCGATTGAGAGAGGGTTGATGTCGGGGTGTTCAAAGCTTGTCGTAGATTAGCTATTTCAGCTTGCTGAGCTGCTATTAAATCCCTGTTCTCACGCTGGACCTGTTCCTGCTGTTGGAGAAAGGCCATCCATTGTTGTTCGAAGCTGCTGGGGGCGTCCCTGCTCATTGCTTCGCGTTGATCCATTTGTGTATTTGTTGTACAAGTCTGCCGCTTTATCTCGTTCGGCTAGACGTTTTCAATGTTGCTCGTTCGTTTGTTAGCACGATTGCTAACCCAGTCTATTCATATACCAGTGCTATCACTGAACTTCGTGATGCAGGATTTAAGGCTCCCAATAGCCTATCATATGTCAGCACGTTTGCTGAGCTTCGTGATACAGGATTAAGGCTCCCAGTGGCCTATCAATGAAAGGAGTGAAGCAATTCGTAATGTAAAGGGTTAAGCTCTAAGAACTAGAGGCTAGTCCTCCTATATAACAAGGACGAATTGCTTGAGAAAGGGAAGAAAAGAATGAGACGAGAACTCGAGCTTAAGCAAGCTCGCGTAGCATGATCACGTGCGCACGTGCAAACGATGGCTAGGCTGAGTCAGCCAGCCAGAGCGAATCTAGGGGTTCAACCCCTTATAGTAATAGTTTTTTGTTTATTTTTTTATAGTAAAAATGAATTAATTTAATTTTATTTATATCAAATTAAATAAAATTTTTACTTTCTTTTTTAAATATTTTCTTTGCAGCTCTCTTTATATTATTATAATTTTCTTATATAAATATAGAACTAGTAATAAAATCAATATTATCAACATAATTAAGAGTTATTACTACATATATACTTTTATTCTTGAATAAATTAGCTGTATATATAGTAAAAAAAAAAGATGAAATTGAAGATTCTTGAGAAATTTCTATTTCAATAAAGGTTTTTTTTCTATTTTATTGCATTAAAAAGAAGCTGAATGCTTCTTTTTGTTATAAAACAGATGACTCATTTTACTAGAGACTCTGATAACTTTAACTCTTGCATAATTGAAATTATTTTATTTCTTGAAACATGATTAAAAGCATCATTTATATTAATAAAGGCAGCAGTTGAGACTAAACCATCATTTTTAGCTATTTAAATATCATGAATAGCTGATAGAACTACATTTATAGCTTAATTTT